TTTTATGGGATTTTCAATTGAATTGCTGGCAAGTACATTATAGATACCATTCACTAGTTAATCCATTATGTTTCATTTTGCTTTCTTCTTAAAGTTTTTACCACACCTCCAAGTAGGAACACTAGGATAGTTGTGCATGAAGACAATGGCTGAAGTGATCATATAGACAAGAGAATGTTGTTTTTCTCAAAAAAGAGTAGAACACTCCACCTTGCCAAAGTTCGTAAGAACAAAGGTACTAAAAGTCAGCAAAAATGGTAGTATTACAACAGACAAAAAGTATTATTAGCCAGGAAATTCTTCTCATTACGATGGTTCATTTTGTTATGGCTGGTGAGTCATTTATTCTTTAGTTTTGACGTAACATCTTTGCCTTACAGTTTTGAATGAGGTTAGAAAATGTCTGTTGTACATAATCCTTTGGTAACCTAAAGCAAGGAGAATTCGGTTGTGGTGTGAATGAATATCATAAGAAATATTTCCCTTCGATCAATTGTCAATTCTTGTCTTCAACTATACATGAACAAAGTCCCTTGGTAACGGCTACCCAGTAATTATTATTTTTGGCAACTTTTGTAATATTCACACAAAACTGAACTTTTTTTTAGTAGTCTGTTACATAATTCTTGAAATTTGTTTCACTAAAGTCGTCAGTGAGAAATCCATCTACATATCAAAGACTGAGTGTACTGCACAGCATTTCGTTCTGTCCTCCGGAACTGTGGCTCATTGGTTAACGGAGATGATTTTCAACCGATGGCCCATGGGTTCGAGCCCCGCTCCACCCACCTAGGTTTGCGCAGCCAGGCAGTATCACTAGGCCGTTTGCAATAAGTGTGGCTCATTGCCTGCTGCAAAGATGTAAACAAGGCTGGTGATGGTATTGCGACGACCAGTTTGTGTTGGACATATGTTACAGATGTCAAAACATTATTTACTTCAACGTGCGATGTTAGGTGAGGTAGGGTTGGCTTATAAGAAGGTTAAGGGTGATCATGCCAAAAAGTAACACTAGTCCATGAAATCCTTAACTTTTGGTCTTAACCAAGTGAGCTATCTGGCCACGGTCTTCGAGATAATAGGATGTAATAGTTTGAGAATCTTCAGGATACAACTGAACACCGATGTATACTCATCTTGTAATATTTTAGGTCTTGAACATTTCCCTTTCCAATAACCTTCTTATTCCTTTTCTTCTCATATATTCTTGTCTACTTTAACGTCATTCCTTTTCTGTTTACTTCTTCGCTTCTGGGAAGTGTGATAACTTCTGTTTATCTGTCTATTTTTATCGGTTCACGTTGTGACAAAGTGCTGAGTTAGTAAGTTTATTTCTCAAATGTTTCATTTCTCATGAAAAGATATATCCCTCCAAAGTTCTACAATATCAACTCAATGTATCCTCACATTTTCACTTCATTATTTTGTTAAAGTTAATGATAGGTAGTACTGCTGTTTCATACTTCTGAGAAGGTAGAACTATATAATCACAAGTTTGTGTAATCATCAGTCAATCATGTCTTTAATATAGTGATATTTCGCACTTGAAAAGGTTTTACTGCTCTCCAAATTATTTAGTGATAAATAAAGCCTTTTAAATCTAATTCAATTTATTTCCTGGTGAGTTAAACTCATTTCTTGTAGTATAAGTTAGGTAAAATGATATAACTAACCAACAGATGCGTTATTGACGAGCATCGTTTTGTTTCATGTCTCTGAAGTGCACTGAATACCATGTTGCTGATATACAACTATTCTACACTAATTGTTCTAATCAAATTTTATGAAATCATTTTCAACTAACTGTTACTACAGTGAAGATTTGTAACTGATAGTATCAACTTTCATTTATTTGTTCAACACTGGAAAACATTTTTCATCATAATGCTCGATAATTTAGGCAACTAAAGGTGTACATGTTCTTATACTAGACTTCCCTCCACACATGTTTTATCACAACTGGTAGTGCTAACTGGCAGCCTGAACGCTGATATGTGAAGCAAGCTTCGTAAGTTTAAATAACGGATAGCTATAGGATATGCTATAGCTGTTGAACAACTGTACGTCTCCGTCAATCATCAGGAATAGCCGGTTTTCCATCAATGACGATCAATGTCGTTCCTAGCATTGTTAAACTAACATCCAAATGCACAAGCAAGGCAAACAATTTTCTGAAAAACAAATGACTATTTAACTAGTCATGACTGAATGACTGACTGACAAACACAACGTAGAACCTCTCGCACTGGTGCATTGGCCCAATATACCACATTTCCAGTAGTACACAAAGAACAGGGGGATAGAAAAAGAGTAATATGAAAGTAGACAAAGTAGTGTGGGAGAATAAACATTTTGAAGACAGTGGTTAGTGTGAATATTCAAGCTTTAGAAGATACCGAGGAGTGAATACATCTGCGACATTGTGACCGATTTTCCGCCACATCACCAAGTGTCCTCAACCACTGATTTATTTCGTCTTGACGACCGTAGCCCAGCACTCTCCCAACACAACTGAGACTGACAGTCAGAGACTTCATCGACCAGTGCCATATCTTGGTGTGGTCCACCTGAACCGTCCTCCAACCTAATCGCGCTGCCCCTAGCATTGCACATCGAGGTAGGCGGTGCTTTGGCATGCACAGTATATGTTTAAGCCATCTCAGTCAACTGAGGTTCACAACCTCATTAATCGATTTGCCTACCTTACCCAGCACCCTTCACTTGACCTCAAGATTGCTCACGTAGCGGTGACTTCACGAGACACGAGTAATGCTACGAAGATATCTGTGACCAGAAGTCTGTAATCGTTTCATGTCTTCTACTTTTAACAATGTCTGACAGCCATATAACAGGACAGAAGGGACTGCAGCATAGTATACTCGTCCTTTGATAGACAGTCGGCTATCTTGTTGGCCGGTGCCAAATGTGATGCAAGTCTGCAAATGCGGGACGAGCGTTGTGTATCGGAGCTGCCTTTGATGGGGCCGATTTGGTCAGTTTCTGTTAACCTATATGATCCTTCTCAGACGTTTGATTCTAGCGAGTAATTACAGTTTGATAGTAATGAAGGAAATTCGCTCTCAATAGAATTATGTCCACCTTAAAAATTTTACTGAATTAAATAGTTTATTTATTCGTCTATCGGATTTTATGGAGTTTTATCATTATTATTTCTGAACAAAAAAGTTTCCGGATGATTTCATTCACTATATGTTGTGTACTAATGTTGGGGTTTTCGTTGTACTAATCTACTAAACCCTATATGCTATTTTAATGTGAACCATTACTAGTCTTTTCCTTTTATAATTTACTTGTGTTGAGTTATAACCATGGTAAAGCACAGGGAGTTTTAAATATGTTTACCAGAGTTTGATTTTGTAAAAACAGGGATAATGTATGTTTTTGGTGGTATCATGCGTCACGAAAATGATGTATTTTTGAATTTAAATAGGAATGAAGCTAATACTTTGAATAAATCAAGTAGCTTACGGAAACATGAAAAAATATTTTTCTGCTTCATTTTCTCTTTTCTGTGAGTATTGTAAATTGATATTATATTCCCCTGTTTGAACTGTTTAAGTGAATCAAACTATGCTCCATGAACATAATAGCGTGAAGGGATTGGTGAATTATTATAATGTTTTATGCTTTACTCATGAGTAAATGTAAGGTTAGTTGTATTAACTTGGGGCTATAAGTATCCATAGATTCAGTGTTTTTGTAGATTTGACAGTGATAATACGCTGTGAGCTTATTGTTTACGCTATTCACTTTGTTTTAGATTGTACTTCTTCTAAGATGGATATTCAGCCAAGCAAGATACTTCATCATTCTCTTATTCTATTAGTGTTAGTTGAAGTGACTGTATAAGTGAATAACCGTTTAGGGTGTTCAGGAAGTCATACTTCTCAACTTTATGAAACTTGTCATGCTGTGTATCTGTTGACTTTTTACCACCAGGAGAAAGTATTAGGTACATAAAGGTTATCACAATAGTTGAATACTGTACCTAACTGGCGTTTTCATCCTGATCAAATTAGCTGGCGCATGGGTCACTAAACATACCCCTGGAATATATGTCAGATTCCCTATTCTTGACTGGTCTTCAGAACTGTGGAAAAGGTTCCATATAATCCGTATGAGGCTAATTATCTCAATAAAACGCTTATTGATATATGAAGCCATTGGTTGATCACATCTGGGGTGCTAGAAACTGTTGATATGCAATAGTTTACATAAGCATTTAGTTTTATCATAAACGGTAACTTTTGTTAATTTGAAGCATTTTACACCAACGTAGTTAACATTCATTTTTCATCAAAATGCTTCTTTCAGCAAAGCTAATGAAACTGATAGGAATTATTCAAATAAGCAGTCTGAAAGATGTAGGTACATTAAAAACTGCTTACAGCCAACAGATATAGACGTATGACATTTACGAATCCTAATCTAAATAGTCTAGGCAATAATAACGTTGTCACATCAAACCTTTTTATCTCATTTCAGAAATAAAACCATTACTTTACAATATTTTCATGCATTATACCTATGGATAGATAACTGTACAGGAAACAGGTTGAAATATTATCGAAATGAAGGAAAAGATGGTTTCTAATAATATTCTTCATGTAAGAAATCGGATCACTGGTTGATCTTATTTTCCAGTCCAGTTTGTCAACAGAATTATTTTCCAGGGTACTCGTATAGCTTTACCAATTCACATTTCAAGCTTTGGTATGTTCTCTTCTGTACTGTGTTATCATTTTTATGCTGCCAGTTTACACTAGGAACTAATTATCCACTTCTGTCTATGACAAACATAGATATGCTTCAAATCTTCTTCACTTTCACTGTATTTTTTTCCAAACCGCCTGGTTAATTTCTTCAGTTATACTTTCGTTGGAAAATTACTGGCTTCTTGCCACTACATAAAACTGATTCAAGTGACAAAGTGAAAGTTTATTTCTAATTCGTATTTTGTTTTGCTTTTTATATTGTAGCCTAACATGTGGTCATCTTCCTATTGGCAGCAGTTGGCTTTATTTGGGCACTGATAAAGGCAACGTTAATTTCGTTAGTGTTCAACGCTTTACAACATCTGGTTATGTGATAAATTGGAACAAAGCTATTGATTTGTAAGTCGAATGAATATTTAAGAAATATTTGTAAAACACGGTTATCAGAATCACTTCATATGATTCATTTGACTTCTTGTAAATAACATCTACCAGTTAATTGGTTTTAGGTTAATGTTTATCATAAACTGGGCTGTCCAGTGCTCACAGGTTTTCAATGTTTCTCTAACTGATATCAGTTCATGATAAATATCAATAAATAAATAAACAAATCCCCAAAAACCGCAACATTGAAACTTTTAGTTAGCTGATTATGACTAATCAATTCTGAAATGTATTGTTATCTGGCTTACGGATAAGAAAAACATAGAATTCAAATTTAACTAAAGCAAATGCAAGAGGAACACTGATTTACTGTCGAAATCAATATAGAACCTCTCACACTGGTGCATTGGCCCAATATACCACATTTCCAGTAGTACACAAAGAACAGGGGGATAGAAAAAGAGTAATATGAAAGTAGACAAAGTAGTGTGGGAGAATAAACATTTTGAAGACAGTGGTTAGTGTGAATATTCAAGCTTTAGAAGATACCGAGGAGTGAATACATCTGCGACATTGTGACCGATTTTCCGCCACATCACCAAGTGTCCTCAACCACTGATTTATTTCGTCTTGACGACCGTAGCCCAGCACTCTCCCAACACAACTGAGACTGACAGTCAGAGACTTCATCGACCAGTGCCATATCTTGGTGTGGTCCACCTGAACCGTCCTCCAACCTAATCGCGCTGCCCCTAGCATTGCACATCGAGGTAGGCGGTGCTTTGGCATGCACAGTATATGTTTAAGCCATCTCAGTCAACTGAGGTTCACAACCTCATTAATCGATTTGCCTACCTTACCCAGCACCCTTCACTTGACCTCAAGATTGCTCACGTAGCGGTGACTTCACGAGACACGAGTAATGCTACGAAGATATCTGTGACCAGAAGTCTGTAATCGTTTCATGTCTTCTACTTTTAACAATGTCTGACAGCCATATAACAGGACAGAAGGGACTGCAGCATAGTATACTCGTCCTTTGATAGACAGTCGGCTATCTTGTTGGCCGGTGCCAAATGTGATGCAAGTCTGCAAATGCGGGACGAGCGTTGTGTATCGGATCTGAGATTTCATCAGCAACCAGCCGGTCCGAGATGATTCATATTCGCAACTACGTGAAACGGCTGACACATTTCACTGCTTCTCTCCATATCATGAAACTGAGTGTGGTCAAAGGCCAGTTTTGGAGCATCATTTTGCATTTGACAGATGCCAGAGAAACGTGTGGCAAACATTCAGAGGTTTCTGGTGAATGTGTTCAGAAGACCTTGCATTTTGTGCTCGTTTGTGCTGTTATTTGAATCTGGATTACTAATTTCATAGTCACCTTTTCAGCACAGGATCATTGTGATATTTCGTGATTTGACCATCTTGAAACATCTTAAATTCTACTTTGAGACACGTAATACTTATCTTTTGTTATGCTTACATGTATTTGTCGGATAATATTTCGCAGTTTTAAGTAATGGTGCTATACCTTTATGATCTATTGAAATGTGTCAGTTTTTTTAGATGTTAATTGTAGTTAGTTGTGAAGTGAACTATGACTATGGATCGTTTCATTCAGCGAATTCTCTCACAAACTCGTTTAAACTAAATTATCTTAAGATTTATTATTTTTATATATGTTATTTTACTTTTTTCGCTAATAAGCAGTATTAATAATGAATCAGATGGGGAAAAAGTGTTCATAAATTTTGTGATTAGTTGATACACACCTGAAACCCTGTGTTTCATCTTTTTAGCGTTCGACCTATAATCGTGGAGAATTCAGTCATGTTTAACAGCATTTAATCAATTTTTCATAGACCTGGATGATGTTATTTTGTTGCTGAAGAGAATTACTTTTAATCGCAAGATTCACGATTCACCTTTGACCCCCAACTACTTGTCGTGATATAATAATGTTCATTCTCTTTAACAGGTCTCAGTCATCTCATCCCGGGAAAGTTATCCAAATAGCTGAAAATCCTCAAGACTCCAGTAAAATCCTCATTGGTTATTCATCAGGATTTCTTGTTTTGTGGGATCTGAAAACCAAACAAGCAGATGCTCGTTTTAAACACACAGATGTAAGTTCACATCGTGTCATTAAATCTGTAAAGTTTGGTGTATATATCTATAGTAATAGCATTGTTCTAATTATGTTTTTATTAAAACGTAACGCAGTGCATCACTGCTACTGATCTATTATCACGGGTATTGTAGACTTTATTGTTACTATAGTTTTCTGGAACTGCAAATCAACTTTATTTTAACGGCTCAGTAAGAAGAATATGAAGTTTCACATTCATCCTTTCCACTTTTTGTAGGCAGTGGAATGTATTTAAGCGAAGATTTTAATGGAACAGCGCTGTTATTCTTGAAAAAAAGATTTATTTCTCAGGATTTATACTGTTTTCTAGTAGAACGCATTACAACATTCTTATACTTTATGGATCGATATTGTGTTGACACCACGCACAACCTTTTCCAAACCTCATCCTACTTTTGTTAACATCATATATCGTATAACATAGGGATGATGGCATGAGTAGTACATGTCCCATCTACAAGTAGATGAAAGCAAGGAACATCATCGACTGAAGTACCTCTTCTGTCTGAGACTTTCTTTGTAATACGCACCTTACTCGTATGGCGTTCCCATGACGTATGGGGTTCTATGAAGGCACTGGCTATATGGTACGTAAAGCTTATATTCTCAGTTATAAGTAGCTGTCTATTGGATAAGAACTTGCGTAGTACACTATATCCTTTTTAGGTAAGTGCAGTATAAGCTGGTTCAAGCTAGCAAACATCAGTTGAGTCCTTTGTCCATATGTCGACATTTGTTGACCATTGGTTCTTCAGTGTTGATGTGACTTTAAAAGTAAGTGAAATAGTCAACCCTTCCCCCAACCATTTCACTCCTTGTTGTTAGGAGAGGCATTACCGCATAACACTTCTGTAGGAACCATTAACATTTGGTAGGCAAAGAATACATTCCAAATATTCTCAAGTATTTCGTTCAGCGTATCCCGGGAGCTATACCTCTTAATAGCCGTCAGTCAAACGAACTATATAATCTTCACACTTCAGGTCGACAGAGGAGTTTTCTGTGAGAGTCTCGGTCGTAGTGAATTCACATAAATAGAAAAAAGCGTCCATAAGTATGTCTTTGATAAAGTAAAATAATATGGAAGATGTACCTTCTTGAGGAACACTGCTGGATGTAGACCTGTCACTTCATTTTAAACTCTGGCCTTCAGTAATGTGATGTACACATCAGTAAGAGAGACCGGCGCAAGAGCTCGTGATTGACGAGTTCAAATATCGCCTTCTGACCAAAAAAAGCAGCTAGTATAGAATGCTGATATGTGCGCTTTTATCTCAAAATTTGGTGAAGAGTAGAAATCTGTTGGATACCTCCACAGCCAGTTTCGAGACCACCTTGGCTTTTTGAGTATTTTATTCTTGATCACCAATCGGGCATTATCACAGCAGTGTTTTTCTTCTTTTAACAAAACTGAGACGGTCGGTAATTGAGACTAATTGGAGATCATATGTGATTCACATACACTAGCTAACATTTTAGTTAAACTAACTGATAATCTTTGACCAAAGTCCTTAAGTACCTCCAGTGGGAACCCATCGAGACCTGGTCTCTCTATTTGTTTCATATTGCTTGCAGTCATCTGAGCTTTTGCTAGGGTTGTGGGTTTCAGTTCAGTTCTTAATTTAGGCCACAAATGGATTGCGGGTAACCGAAAAGTAACTGGAAGTCAATTGAGCTGTTTCTTCAAGTGATGTTCCAATCATACCAGTCGTTTCTTCTATCCTTGAATCGTAAATCCATCCTTCAGCTATTATTTAAATTACCATGGACGTTCCTATCTTGGTTTCCTTGATAAGTCTAAATGATTGTCTACTGTTACCTAACACCGTTGTTTCCTCCATTTGTTCAGCATCTGCTGCCCATCATTGCGTTTATTTAAGCCAATTCTGCTTTACGTTGTGCTTAAATATGTATTAGTTCAGATGCTGTTGAGTTCATTCAAATCTTAAATATCCTTTTTTGAATATTTCTTAAAATAAGACAAAAACGCTTTAATTTTGCCATTATTTCCTCATTGGTGGTTGACTGTAGAATCCGTGACGCACATTTTGTTCGATTTAGGACTTGTCAGGTTGAAGTATCTGATTCCCAGTAAATGATGGCGTTCCCATAGTGACTCAAACCCACTACCCATCGTTTGAAATGGCAGAGAGTTATCCACAAATTACTGAGCCATGAGAACCACCTCTTGTTCAGTTTACATCATTCATTACTTGTTGATGCTTGTAATTTCTTTCTGATCATCAAATTGATCAGTTTCTGTACGCATATGAACTCCTTGAACGTATATCTGGATATTACCTCAAGTTTCATTTTGATGTTGGCTAGTAGTGTAATCGTTACTCAGATTATGCCCTTTGTACAAGAGGTGCCTGTCGTGATTACGCAACCCATCTAATAATGCTCTTATATTTGAAGTAACATACTGGGTTTGAGGTGTGATACGAACATCATCACTCACTGGGAACCAAGTACATCCAGGTCTCAAGTTCTTAGTAGAACAAAACGTGTTGCCTTGATCCCACTGCTAGCCACCAACAGGTAAATAAAATCCTGACGCAACTTGATGCAATATCGAGACATTTGTTCCAGAAGCTTATTTACCAAAAAAGACCGATCAATTTGACCCAGCATAATCAACAGAAATATGCAAGCATCAGTGGATATGCTTTGATTTCATTTCCTCAGGTGGCTTTTGTCCTGAACAAACCAAAATGTTTGTAGTATTTCTTGGAATCGTATAATTCACTATGAACACACATTTATCATATCATGAAACAAATTCATAATAGCCTGGTATTTGTATACGACCCAGTATTTTATTCATTTTCATTCACTTTTTATAGAGTCTTTACAGCATGTCTTGGCACTGGGATGGCAAAAGTTTCCTCACATCTCATAATTATGGTTTAATTGCAACGTGGTCGATCCGTCAACCCCAGCGTCCTGTTTCTATTATTTGTCCCATGGTAGGATAAATACTTTTAGTGATAACATTGTATTGGTAAATTGTTTAATATAATATTATTAACTGATGATTGACGACAAATGGACACGCTCACTCCAAGTTCATTCTGCTAGGAAAGTTCTCGATATAATTAACTTAGAAATCAACAGCAATTATTTATTGCCGTGATACCAAGTTCTAAAGCATAAGTACTGAAATGTTGCCATTGTACATCCTTTTGGGCTTTGTGGCAGCAGTAGCGCCTTCAAACTTGGATCAGCGTAAATGTATTGAATCACCATACACTGGATGTGTGAATTAATTCTTGTAGCTTCATCTTATCGATGGAACAAATTCTAATTTCTGGGAAATTCCTTACATATTTGTGACTGACTGTTGTTTCACAGAAATATCAAAGTTGATTACTTCATTCACAACATAGATAATGTTTGTGTTCTACTCACTGATCATCATCGGGTGTCGTTTTCCAGTCAGTCCTCACCTAGTAATGAGTAAAGCGACTGAGTAAATCTTGTGTTTGCAGCTTGTTGGCTAGGCAAATTATTTCTAGCTCGTTGGATAACCATGTTTTAAATAAAAATATTCTGCCTCGTTGATATTATTGATCTCAAAATACTGCTGATTGTCCTAAGTGGAAATCGACTAGTGATTCCTTTATATAAAGAGTCTACAAATTTTGATGTTTAAACCCCAGCATAGGATTGTTGTTAGGAATTTGCCTCATGCCGTGTTTACTAACTCGAATTGTATTAGTACTCCCGGAGATGCATAGTCAAGTGAACAGAAGAATAGTAAGCTTAAAAACATCTCTCAATTTCTGTGTATGATGTTTTTGAGAGTTTACTGCTTAATAATGGGAAATATTTTTAACTTGTTGATCTCAGAGACGTCATTCTGAGAGAGAAAAAATAATACAGCATTAGTTGTTGTTTTTCAAGGTTATAGCTCACTCTTCGTATCAATTCAGAACCCTATGGGATTAATTTAGTGTATGTATTATTATGTTGATTCTTGCTAGGCGTATTGATCAGTTGCTAGGATTGGTGAATGAATAGGAATTATGTCTTTGATGATAACTTTAATTGTTTGCTCGTACTTGTTATCCATAATTGTTGATGTATTCCTTATCGAAGAAAGTCAATGCCTACCCTGATAGCATTCTTGTTCTTTCACATTGCAATTTGACTCTCATCTTAATACACAAGATTGAAGTTGGTAAATGTGTCACTTGTGCAATATATACTTTAAAGCAGTTAGAAACTTAAATTTCGAAACAGTTAGTGACTGCATCTTTCTTCAGTTGTGCATACTTTGTCAGCTAAACCTAATCAAATACCAGGCTTTGGGTGAAAGTTGTATTTTTGATACACGCTTACAGAACCCTATTTTATTTTCCACCAGGTTTCACCTGATACTGAGTATCTTGAAAATTTGTTGGTCATTTTTCAAAGCTTCTCCCTAAAGCATCAGGATTTATATTCAACTGTACAATCATTGGATGGATTTTAGTTAGCAATTCATTGAGTGAGGCATTAAGCACCTAAAAGATAACCTTTTGTAATTTATTCCTGATCATTCATTAGACAAGTTTAGGAGGAGTAAAGGGTAGTCATGTTAAAATATGTTTAACCTACTCCAGTAAGATAGGTAGAGTACTCGTATCGGGTGATTTCATTACTCACGTACAAGTCCTAATTTAGACAAAACCGTAATTAATTAAATGATACTTTAGTATATCGACTCATCGAAATGAGAATGATGGTTACTTCTTAAAATTATGCTCAAATAACTGTTTATTCTTAACCAGCAAATGTATACTGCGTCAGCTGAAATATGAATTTGCGTATACGGAGTTTGATAAAACTCTCTGTGAATGATCTTTATTGTTGAAAGAAGAGAAATCTACTTTCATAATAGCCAGAAAGAGATAAGCTTCTGAAATCTCTAGATTCCACATGTAGGCAGTAACCAAATTGTGGCTTAGAACGGTAATTCTGTAAAAGCCATGAACGTTTTATTCTCGGTCATGAGTATGTTCACTAGGTTTGTTAACACACACACCTCCATAAATATTAAGTTATGTGTTGGTGCCTATCTCTCAAATGATTATTTGTCCAGTAAGTCAATTTAAAGATCCAGCTTTTATTTTCATTTAATTCTTGAGAACCTTGTAATTATTAATTTGAATTATTTGTATTGACCTCTTTTTTACTATAGTAAGTTTTTATACGATTGTTGAAACCACTATTTTCTGTTCCTTATCTTTCCGTTTGTTGTTGAAAAGCATAATTTTTAGAGAAATATAAAATATTCTAACCTACTTCGAGCTCTCCTTGATAACAGCGTATATTAGTTTAGTGAAGTATGCCAACAATATCAACCATATGGGTCACTCAAAGCATACTGGTGTTTGCTTATATCAACTCATCACTATGTATAATTATTAGTAATTAACAGATGGTTGTTTAATTTTAGTTTTATTGTAAATGGTTATCTTTTCTCATTTCCTATCAGTTGTACACATGAGTTGAATAAATTCATGACGTCAGAATTTTCATGGAAATTGAAGAGTGATTAGGTCTTCATTGTTTTTTGAAGTATTTCTGCCAATAGCTACTAAGAAGAAAAAAATCACTGTGACCTTCTTGTTTGCTTGGATTTCATTTTCTTTCCCATCATTATTTCTTGGATCATAGCCCTCAACTAATCGCTTCACTGTTACAATTATTATTACAAATGAATATGAGTAGAATAATTACATTCTTTGAAATTGTTTTTTTCTTTCGTGCTGATCAGTCAGTTGGTCGATTAGGAAAAACCATAATCTTTCCTTCTTGTTTTCGTTGGCCATGAAATTATATTGATCTCTACACTATATCTTTCTTGAGTTCTACGGATGAGAATTTTCATTCCTTAGATTTCTTTTATCCCGGTGATTGATTTGATAACTATAATTATTATTGTTGTTGTTTCAGCTGCTGATGAAGCTATTCCGGATGACTATACATCTTATGAGCCAATACGGTTGGTAGAATGGTTGCCAACTAGAAATGGGTTAGTTTATTGCATTTGTTATAGTCAGAATACTTAGTTTGTCGTCTATTTTCTATCTATTTCCAGGAACAATAGTACGTTTTGATGTGTTTTAGCTAAATGTCTAGTATGCATTTCAAACTTGGATCAGCGTAAATGTATTGAATCACCATACACTGGATGTGTGAATTAATTAGTGATATGTCTTGTTCAACAATTCTTGTAGCTTCATCTTATCGATGGAACCAAATTCTAATTTCTGGGAAATTCCTTACATATTTGTGACTGACTGTTGTTTCACAGAAATATCAAAGTTGATTACTTCATTCACAACATGCTTGCATTGTGATCCTCTATATCAGGTTATCAGAGATTATCATAGACAAGATGCAGTACTTAAAGACCATATTGTGAACAAAGCGACTAATTATCTGGAAATTAAAATAGACGTGAAAAGATAAATGTTGCTCAGTATCATCTGATAGATAGTATCCAAAACAGAAGGCGGGCGTAGTTTATTTAAATCAAGGTTCTTATTGACTGTTAAATACTTGGTTTTCAGCAAACAAACTGTACCTTAGTAAATGTAAAAGAGTTTGATTGTTAAACGAATCCGATGATTAATAATAAGACTTGATGACAACTTACAGTTGTGTTCCAAATTTTTCTTCCAGACCAGAAATTTCGATGGTTCATGGGGAATTCAGCAGCTTACAGATGATTATGCGTTGTTGGTATTGTCTAGGGTAGTAACGTTTTCAGCAACCGTATAATCGATCTGCTTTCGGTAACGTGACTCTTACAATTCCTTGTCCAAATTTTCTGTATTATCTCAATATGATTTCGATCTCTGCTGGCTGTTAGATAACTAGGTAGAAGAACTATTAGTGGTTTTTACAACAGTATGTGTATCTGTTTAGCCAAAATCCAGGTAGCTGTGGTATCAGTTGAACTGTTTTGCTTGCTTGTGACCGACAGAAAATAGGCCAACATCTAAAACAAAAATCGTCTATCACTAATGACGCAATGGTTGTCAAGGTCATACAGTATGAGTGTGCTCCATGTCATCGTAACGTGATGAAACTTTCATAATCAGATATCACTGCTCGAATAACATCAAATTATTGTAGTTTAGTTTTAGTGGCATGGTAAAACCAAATGTAAGCTGGTGTAATCATTTGCACTTCAAGATCGAAATCGTGATTACTTAGTGTTTTCCGTTCCTCTATATATTTGCTTGTGTATTTTCCATCGTCATTAGTACCAAAGGTACTTTGAAGTTAATGGATTCATGGTCAAATATCAGAGCCAGCAGAATATCATGCAATAATTACTAATAATCAAAGTCGCAGTAGTAATATTTCTTTAACAATCCCTACTGAAATTGAGTTACTCAAAGTTTTTATATCGTTTACTGTAAACTATAGGGAGTTCAGATCGCTCACCAAACCACTAATCTTGCAGTACACAAATGCGACTAAAACGAAGTAATCTGAAATAACAGCTTTTGGTGGTGTTTTAATCACACTTCATCGTTATCAGCATCATAACTGCTATCTGGATATTTATGTCAAGGTTTTTACGGGAATCAGCAAGGAATTTTTACATTGTTTCATGGTATTTAACAACCATCATCAAAATTTGTGCAAGACTATGTAAAATCACATCATATATATATATATATATATATATATATATATATAAAAGTGGAATATTGAACAAGACCCTTAGACTTCATTCTTGATGATCGCTCGGTTCATTGAAAACAGAAAAGCAGCGGCGAAACAATAAAGGTTTATTGTTTAGTCGAATATGTACAAAAATTAACGGTTTATATATATTTGCTAATTGCTTGAAAAGTTCTACTCTTTTCTAGAGAGCCCTTTAACCAGTTTAAGTCTTACTCGTATGATCACGTGGTTTTTCTCGAACGTTCGACATGTTTATGAAAGCTTTTTAGGGATATTCATGCTTTATTGAGAAATCTAGAGTACATCGCACTACATAAGAGTTAGTTTGATTCTTGAAAATGCACATTGCGGTATTACTCTCAGTTCACTGTATCACCATCAAACAATGAAAACATGAAAATTAAGTAGCAATTTTATGCAATGGCAAAGTAGGGATTTGATAAGTAACAACAAGGATCAGAAAGATCAGAGTTCATATTGCCCTTCATGTAAGCAACAAAAGAAAGCCATACTATGGTCTTCTTAGACTACTGTATCTAGTCATATCCCAACTATTAGGATGTATCACCCTTATAGCTTTATACAGATACAGATAAACTAATGGGAACTAACTTAACCTAATTATTCTTTATTTCACACTAAGAGATCTGTCTATGGGTTTCTTGATAATGTGTATCATCTTTCGGACTGCACTACAATTTATTGGAATTTAGCGCAGCTGAGACAAGCCAATTCATAATCGATAGGGTATTCATCAATCAATCCCTGATGAATACCAACTTGAAGTTAATAAGTCCCCACAAATCTCCAAAACGAATCACTAACCAGTGCTCATTAGTGACTTGGTTCGAGATGAGGTTTTCTTCAGTTGTAATGAGAGGTAGTAATCAGTGGGCGGGGGACACTAAGTCAGAAGTGAGGAAAACTACTTAACAACAATGGATCATATCAAGAATAAACAAAAGTAGGAAAGCTTGCAGTATTCGATTCCTTTCTATTGGTTCAACACTACCATCCTCATCACAAAACCTGTAGGTCATGGGCTGGATTCCCTGGTGGGATCATGGTTATGAACTGCTGAGAAGTCCCATACAACGACGAAACAGCTGTCCAATGCTCCGAAGTTTTCAGTGTTTCTCCAACTGACGTCATTTTGTTATGGATGTCAATTTGAAAATTGAATAAGTTGTGGGCGCTGAGATGTACACACTGTAGTTCATTTAAAAACCCAGGTCGAAGGAACTGAAGTTTACACTTGTTGAAAGAGTGAACTCATGAGTTTAACAGTTCTGTGACTGTGTAAAAACCAGTTGGTTTTGTAATAAAAAGGCCTGTAATGTGCTGGGTGATATGTTTCTTAACTTGTGTTTAATCAATTAAAACCTTTTTCGTTTAATTCATTTTTAAGCGTATTTCCTTTATGAAATTTCATCACTTCTCAACTACTTAACAGTTATTTGTTTGTTACTCATTTGTGTTTATGATTTAAACCGGTAACATGATTTTAGAAATACTTTTCTCATTCTTCATCTTTTTTTCCCTTTGGTCTGCATATTTCATCTTGAATATCATTTATGTTGCAGTGAAGCACATTAAATATTCACCGAATTATAAGTAGATTTAAATATTACAGTTAAATAAATCATTCCCGATTTGTTTTTTGTCTAACCACTTGATGTAATGTTATTTTACTCATATGGTTAATTTTTCATTGATGCATAGACTTGGATTGACTAAACCAGACATCATTCATTGTTTATTATACTCGATTCCAAATATACATATGGAAGGAATGTTTATCTGATCTCTATTTCTTGGTCAGCAGAACTGCTGACTATTCATTACATGAGAGTAATTTTCTGCCATAACTTGCTTGGTGGTGGCTAACAGAAGAGTCGGGGCGTGTTGGCTGGATATACTTGCATCTCATTGGCCGATGGTATTCCCAATAAAACACGAACTCAGCACTCACCACTTCCAAGCTTAAGTGCTATCCAATAAGAACAGCATAATAAACATCGAAGCACCCCCATAAGAACCTATGCACCAACAGACTTCGATCAATTCGATCTAGTATAACAAGCAGAAATTGCAAGTTTATCAATAAATAATATTCCACTTAGGTCTCAGCGTATTTGACTAGACTGTATATTTGTATGCAAGATGTTGTCACTACAAATTGGCACTGCTTTCTACATGTCAAGGATATAGTTTAATGGCTAGACGAAATGATGGTGGTTAGGATTATTTTTTCTTATTTCTTGGCTAGTTTTAATCCATGCAGGAACGTCTGTCGGCTCATAAGTTGAGTGGCAGTAGATAAAAGTCTGGTTTTCTATTCAACCTGCCAATCTATACACGCTCGCTTGATTACACTTGTAAAAATAAACCATTCTTTTGTTTTGTTAAAATTTCAGTATTTAAACTTCCCTAGCCTTAATAATAACGCACTTCATCGCCTATTTCGATTCGTTATTCGTCTAACTGAACCTAGTATAATGTATAACGTACTGACAGCAGTTAATTCACACATATTTTGATTGACATATGATGACGTGATTCTGTGTATACCGAGACGTTAACTACCTTAAACTGTTTTTTCCCACAGACGCTTAGTTCACTCCATCCCAATCGTAGATGTGGTTCATGTCTCCACTCTAGTCTATGCTCTGTAGGTGTTCCAGAAATTCTCCGCGGTCCTCCTTGTATCTATCACCAATAGGTATGTTTCTTCTAGAACGTGGTTGCTGCTATTTTTCAGTATTATTGACGTCTAAAGATTATTAATGGTTTCAAAAGTATGTTCGTTGTATTAAGAATTAGCATTAATTGGAAATTTTAGTTGTGGTTATTTTTTTAAGTAACAAGATCTTCCTTTCATACTTCATTGAGACTTTCACTTTGTCACCTAATAAGTGCATCCAAAATTTCCAAAGAGCCTAGCACTGTCACTGGATCACAGACCTTGATTTGGTTGTTTATCACCTATACGTGGTTTATATGAAAGTTTTCGAGTTAATATCGCTGACTAACCTCAATTATAATCTATTGTAGTCGTCTTTTTCGTTTTATCAAAGAATAGAGATTCAATCAGCATTAAGTGAATGATTAATGGTAGATAGTGGAATCCAGAACGTGCATGTTGTCCTACTTGGAACTGGTAAGCTAGATGTGCCTCCCTCCCAGTAGAGACCAATTAATTCAGCCCACTCAACGACGGGCTAATACGAACAACAACATTTACCGATTGGTTTTAAAAACATGAGCCCAGCGCTCTAACTAAATAGTAAATTGTTCGTAGTATAATTTCAACAAGTTGTTGAATAAACT